AAAAAATAAGACACATGAGATATTCTTCTTCTGTAACCCCCAGGTATAGGTAATGGCAGTCCAGAGACCCAGAGCACAGTGGAGCACTACCCGTCCCACACAGAGATCAGGCCAGCCACCCCCGGGTCCATGGGCTCCCTGGAGTACAGAGCAGGGCTGTGCAATGGTGATGTTCAAGCACTACGCAACATGCAGGAAGCTTTCAGGTAAGATAACCTACCACAGACATGAATGGGCATTAACACAAATGAGAAGTGTGTGTGTGTGTGTGTGTGTTGAAAAGATCTGCAAAGGTTGGATGTTTCTCTTGTGGTATCAGAAAACTGTACAATTATCTGGCATGTTTTTGTTCTGATTCAAGTGGGAAATTTCTTTTTTTTCTTGGTGGTTTACTTTTTTATAACCCAAAATCATGTCTGAATTATCTTTGATTGCAATGCCAAAGCCTTAGTCATGAAGGTCATTTTCTTGATCTGAAACAAACATCATAACATTCTGCATAGCATTTCACCTAAGAAACAAGTTCAATCATGTCCTTTTTTCAGGTGACAAAGCATTTTTTGCAAGCTATATCTTCAAGGGGCCTGGTAATTGTTCTCTTTGATCAACTTTCTGCAATTCTTCTCTGGGTGTGCATCTAGGAATTCGCTCTGATCAAAGCTCTCATGAAATATCGCCTGGCAAATAATTGAAAACGGCCTATAGAGCACATATTTGTTCAGATGTTATTCTGAAGAAATGAGATGTATGATCTTTGCACAGCAAATTCAAACTCCCAATCCATGCCAATATGTGTTCAAGGGAGTTGCTTTTAGGGCTCATCTTAATCAAAGGCTCCATGAATGAAGGATGCCATTTCGTTTGAACTGGTTTGAGAACTTTTTTTTATTCTAAAACACTTCTCCGGATTAGATTTTATTTTAGGGGGACTGTTCAGAAGTTATTGTTGTAGCAGGATTTGTCTGTCTCAGCAGGAATTCTTGCATGATTGCCTAATTGTCTGGTACGTCCCTCGTAATTCAAAGTACTTGGGTAAAGTTGGAAAAACTTAGCGGTCCATGATATTGTTGATTTTGCTTTGTGAAGAGGCAAGCTGGACAATTAAGATGATCACAATTTACATTGACTGCACCATAGCAAGAATTCCACTGAGATAGATCAATCCTGCAAGTATGATAACTTCTGTTCTGAACACAGTCTTAAATGACACATGCAGAGCAGGATCTCTGTGAGACTGTCCTTTACCAAGTTTTATATTCATGATGATGTAATTTGTTTATCTAGTAAGACATAAAAGAACAGATAAATTTGATAAATTAAGTATCCTTTCAGTGGGGATTAAGTTGTGCTTCTTGGCAAAATAGACTGAGGTAACTTTGTACCTCCCATCTTTTTTTATCAGGTCATCTGATAATGATAAGCTCACCCTAAAAAGTTATTCTGCCCACAGACAATTTAAATTTGTTGTAGCGCATTCAGAACAGTGTATTAACAAATCCGTGGATCAAATATAGTGATCAACTAAAAAAGCTTGCTGCTCAATTCCCAATTAGACACTGAATAGATTTCCCGCAGGGATTACGCAACAAGCATTTATGTGGGATGGCCATATTTGATCCACGGATATGTTACTTCACTGTTCTGAATGCGCTGTTACAGCCACTGTACATGTAGTAGAACAGGACCAACTGTGAAATTAGATGTGTTGCCTTTGGTGCACTAATCAAAATCGTACAGCTTGCTTAGTAGGTTCGCTCTGAGATCGGCATGTGCAACTCGATTGGAAATGCTACTTGTACATAGAAGTGTACTTGAAAACACTACGCGCGGTCCTTTAAAGTTTCATGATAATCTTTGAGGAAAATAATGGGAATGTAATTTGAGTTGTATTGCATTTTGATTTGATTACATGCAGATCCTGCCTGCAAAAAGAGGACTGTCTGTCTGGAAATTATTCTGTCTTCCTGTCCTGATGGTGTGATGTTACATAAATGACATAAGAGTACTTGATAGGATTAAAATCACATTAAGCATAGGAAAGGAATATGTGATAAGTATGCATTATAAAGGGAAATCGAGAAATAAAGTTTTAATCTGATTTTCACTTCTGCTGGCTTTTATGGAGGTCAAAAACTATTTTTTCTGCAGAATATCTGAAGTATAGTGCAAACTTTCAGGGATTTAAATATTTAATCTTGTGAATAAGAATTAATTATTTTTTATCTGTCAGTCAATCAGGTTCAATTTGTACACAGACTGGCACATGAAGTCACTTGTTACAATACTGTATCAGTGTATGTGTTGGTGCGATTTAGACATATATAGATCTGGCTTCCAGAACTGTGTTCTTTTTCCAATACCTTAATGCTGTGTCTAAACAGTAGAGCAGTTGTTCACAAGAGTGTGTCAACATAGAAATGGAATTTTACTATAATACAGATTACTTAACAAAGATCACATGTAACCACCTTGTGACTTCGTATTGGATTTTTACTTTCACTCAAGACTTAATCATGGATCACTCTGTGTCATTTTAATTGGTTTTAACTGTTTTCAGTTTTTGTTTTCACTTTTCTTAGTTCATTTGTTCATTGGGCTGAAACATATCCTTTAAAAGAAATCAGTTTGTTTAACAACTCCATAGTTAAAAAGAGTTCATAATGAACTTTTTGACTGAAGAAAATGAAGGAAGCTCGTGCATGTGAAGGGCACATTTTTCTTTCACATTTGAGAAGCTTCAAAGTGCTTGAAGTTTTTACATTGATTTTTTGTGGCAGGGATCCTATTTTACTTGCGATCTAATGCTTTCACTGTTCCACCTTGGAAGAATGGCCAATGACAATTAAATGCAATTTGCCTTATGTACACACGCATTGTCCCCAGGGTCAGCCAAACATTTTCACTCAGGACTTTTCAAATAGCCCGAGAGACCCTCCCTATGGAAACTGTACCAACATTAATGATTCCTCTTCCCACCTATTTATTATACATATCAGGGCCTGTTTTTGAAATGTGTAAACATGCAACTGAATGATCAAAGTCAGTGAGATGTTTTCTGCTGTTTCTGGCATGTGGGCAGAAACCCCATCATCTTGAATATGTGTAAAAAGAGCTAGACCACTAGGGATTAACAGCAATTTCTGATTGATTAATCCATTGCAAATTGAAACCCACACTGCCTTTATACGGTTGGATTACAGTTCAATCTTTGGCGTGTATTTGATGGAGTAAGCTGTTGTAAATAAGGAAATGTAGAATGAAATGATGCGGCATTGATTGCTACTGTATAAAATTCCATTATGAGTTTTGGGGGTCATCCAGCACTGCTTAACCAAAGTGTGTTTTAGGGTGTGTTCACATTGAAACTATCATACTAGGTAGTTTGAACTAACTCAGTGGGGATTCTTGCGGAATGCAATCACATTAACAGATTAACCCATCTCTTCTTGTTTCCAACATACTCATATAGTCACCAGCTTTTCTGTATTCTACTCAGTGCTAGGAGGAGGCTTGTTGATCTGATTGCATTCAGCTAAGTATCCCTGCAGAGTTAGTTCAAACTACCTTCTTCAATAGCATTTACTGTGAATGCACACTTAGACTTACAAGGGTCCATGAATTTAAATCTTGATGACCATTAAATTTTTGTGTCATGGAGAAGATCATAATATTTAATCTCTCAGTTCTTCCTCTCACTTAATCCTTTTGATAACTACCTAACTATGGGAATTATATACCTTGTAAGTGCAATTTAATTGACTGCTTTTTGGTCTTAAAATGGTTTTATGTAAACTGCTGATGAAAAATTTTCAGGTGAAGATCAGCACCAGACAGCAGTACCTATTGAAATCAAGCCAACATCTGCACAGCACAAGTCCAATCAAAATGTTTCAGTTTTTGTACTTGTTTTTCTCCTAAAACCCAATCATTGCTGGCATTTAATTCAGTGTGGATATTTGTTTGATTGTTCTATCAGCAATTGGATCCAATGAGATTTGGTCTCTTTGAAGTCTGCCGTGAAGACACTCAAAGTCTACTGGTATGTCACATGGTGAGATTGAGCAACGGCAAATTAGCTCTCTGCACGTTATAACACAAATTGAAGTGAACCAACATCGACATCATTCCAGCTAGGCTTTTCACTCTCAATTTTGATTTGATTTTTTTTTCTGCCCTGTTTAGTTCTTATGATATTGATTGATCATTGCAGTTATTTTGGTTTTTCGTGGTAACACATCATCATTGCATGACAGTGGAAAGAAAATGAGCATTTCTACAGGGCATTTATTATGATGGTTGCGTGTTTCTCATGCAATTTGTGTATGTTTTTCTTTGTTTTGTTTTCTTTTAAATGCCACTGTAATTTTCTTGGCAGAAACATTGTTTGCTTCTCCAAATGCCACTTTAATTTTCTTGATTGAAACATTGCTTGTGGCCCATAGGGGAATGCTTCTTGTGTTTTTAAATTATCGTTTCTTCCATTTATCAAAAAAAAAAAAAAAAAAAAAAAAAATAGTATCTCAGAAATGACTCTGAAATCTGCCATTAGAAAATTTCACTTCAAAGTATTTTTCAAGACAGGATTATAGTCAATACTGTTTCAAAAATATTTGAAAATGAAGTCATATTTTGTACATACTTTTTAAACAGTTAAAGATTACTATGAAATTGTTTTTTTCTTTTTTTTTTGTGTGTAATGATAAAAAAGTTTTAAAAAGTATATTGCATCTTAAGAAACTAAAAATACTTTTTCTAATATGTGGCATGCCCTGATGATGTTTCGAACCCTTCCTCAAAGGGCTTCTATCACATATGCACTTGTTGACAATGTATTTTTTTATCAGTTACAAATGTTTTTTGTCTTTTTATCAAAGATTAACTTATCTTAGTTTGCTTTTTATTTCTTCTTAGGCTGGTGCCTTCATTTTGTAAGAAGAAGGCAGATAATCTCGGGGGTGGGTGGTTGCAGGGGGGGAGCGGACAGGGAGGATTCCTCACTTTAATGGAAAAATAATTTCAGCCTAGTAGATCTAGGAACAAAAGATACATCAAAAATCTGTACAGAAATAAGAATTTCCATCCTTACTGTTCTTATCTAATCTTGACTTATTTGGCTTTCAGGTTACTTGAGATACATGTTGGCGCTGTTCAAATGCCACTGGGGCAGTGATAAAATGCTCGACTTTTATTTCTTAGTTTGTTTCTGGCTAGAAAGGTTAAGGCATATCTGCCGAATGTTCAAAGAGTTGTGTTCATGTTATAAGACTCTTTGGCAGTTTTTCAGAATCAGTGGTTCGTTTCTTGATGGGAAAATTTAGAAAGGTAAAAATGTTAAGAAAGGATATTTAGTATGCATATATATAGCTTTTGTCATTTTTAAGTCTTTCTTTGCCAGTAAGGGTGAACCAAACTTATCACCCCTCTCCCCTCCAAACCAGGTGTTGGTTTGCTCTTTTTCTACATCATTTATATCTATTATATCTATTTTTACCCTAGCACTTATTATATGATTGAACAGCATTAGGAAAGAAATTAGATTAAAACAGTATATGTAATAGCTACTTAAGATTAATTACTGGAGTAATCCCATTTCTAGACTATTTATGGGCCTTATCAACTTACTAAGGAGAAGATAAATGGAAACAGTTACAAGCTAGCTGCAGTGCCATGTCACAGAACTTAAATTGAAGAGATTGATTGTTTTTATATTCTTTACAATAAAATGGTAGTCAGTAATTGAAAACAAAGAGAGAGAGTACAAGTAATGAAATGAAAAGGATCTCAAGTGAAAAAGCAGATCGAGTTGGCAACAATGTAGAGTCTATGTACGTACAATTCAATAACTCTCCTTATGATTTGGATGCAGCCAACCCAGCATCTTATCAGACACCTCTGTAAGGTTACAGACTTAGTTACCCTTGCCCATAGGGAAGGACTCAAAATAGATCAATGCATATAGGGGATTTTTTTATTCTTTTCTGTGAGAAATTGCACCACAAATTGGTTTTGAGACATTGGTGTTGTCATGGGGCAGTTTCAGGTGGTGGAAGAAGATGTAGTTTGGCCAAAAGGAACCACATCGCTTAGAAATCTGCCAGTGCTAATGCCGTAGGTTTACAGGTTTTGGTCAGAATTACTGGGATAGATTGGGTACTGACAGTGTGCAAAAGCAGTTGTTTATGCAGAAAGGTTATATTCTCATGGAAAACATATGAATAGATGCATGTCTCCGTGATCCTCCTACCTGTACTGTAGTTCTCGTTAGAATTTTTTTTCCAATGAGGTGCATGTGTACACTTGCTGGGTTACCACCTCTTCTTTTTTCTATACTGAATATTTTGTGTCAAATTTCCATTTTAACTGAAAGAAAATACTTAGCCTCCTTTTATTTTGACAGGTTAGACCTTCATCTTATAAATGTGATTGTTCTACAGAATGTTTTTAGTTCATAAGTAAAAACTGCAGATAGTATCATTTAGTTACTAGACAAGTAGCTTTTCCCTACTCCTAACCCCATTCAGAAAGGAGCCCCTCCTAACTCACCTGGCATTTATTTTATAGTAGCAGTCAATTAACTAATAACAAGGAATTCCAGGTGAAATGGCTGGAAAGCAGCATATTATGCAATGGCCCCCATCTTCCCAGCAAGAGCTTGGGGTACCTGTTGATTGATATGTCACTAATGGCTATTGGGAAATATAACCTTTAGTTGCTGGTCAACTCTTTGCTGGTGGATAAGGAATGCTAGAGTAGTGCTGAGTATGTAGTTCTTCTTTTTTTCACATTTTAGATGTAGCCATGGGTTTTTTAAAATTATTGTTACTTTTCTACAAAGAACTAGTTTCAGATCTGATTCCAAGTTCAAGTATATGAAGAGATTCCTACAACTGGTACTAATGGTGGGATGCCTACATGAAACACAAACACATGTACACAACTACATATGGCAGTTAATACATGGCTATACTGCACAGGTGTGATAGACAGTTAAGCTACTTGTCAGTTACCTGTTGGGGGAGAGACTGATTGTAATTAAGGCTCACCCTGACACTGGTGATCAACTGCTGCCCCCTGTTGTGGTAGTTTATTCAAAATAGGAAATAGCCCATTCATAATTGTTTTGCTGTAAATTAACCACTTGATGTTCTCTTCAATGTTTGGTACACTTGAAGCAATTGACCGTTCCTTATTATATTGGGCTGGCAGAACCTTTAAGTTTGTGGTGGAACTGCCAGGCCACACATTTTCAATGTACTGCTAAAAAATATAATGGATCTTGTACTTTTTGAGAATTTGAATATTTTAAAATAGGGCTTCATGAATATTATTACAGACATGTATAGGGTTTAATTATCAAATATATAGTAATAATGTTTTTGTTTGAATAAAAATGCTACTCTTTTTTCATGTTGGCAGACTTTCATGAAGCCCAGATGTGCTTTTAAAGCATCTTTTTATATTTATATTTATTCAATTACTTAAAGCCAGGGTTTATTACTTTTCTTTTACATGTTAATGATACTTAATGATCTGAACAAAACAAAAAGTTCTTTGAATGCGATTAAGAATTAAAATAATTGCGTTTTTCATAAAATCATCAGAAAAATAATTACTACAGAGTTGAGTGAGTCATGTTATGTTACCAATACATAATTGAATCCTTTATGTCACTGTCATAATGCATGCCTTTCATCTTCAGGAGGGCCATATTGCCGCTGGCAGGACAAAGTCGTACTATTATTTTCCCTAGGTGATTTATAAGTGTGTGTAATGGTAGGTGATGTCTCTTGTCATTTGTCTTAAGCCTAATCCAGATAGGGGAGCTGGTACAAAACAATCAGCACTTTGTAAAGTATTTACAGTCTGTCACTTCTTTCGACTATGAAAGTGTGTTGGGCTCATTAAAAAAAGCAACTCACACTTCACAGAGAGAGTTGCAAAAGTGCTGTGGTATAATAAAGTGGATGCTGGTTGTCACATGGGATAACAGCTACAGATGTGAGAGGTATTCAGAATCTCATCTGGTGTCCTTGATTAAACAGTTCTTTTTCATTATGGCTGAAGTTATGAACACGAAGGCTGTGCCATCATCTGTAATGCAATAATGTGTCATTTCGATTTTGATGTGGTTTGCATGTCACTGTATGAAAGAAAACAGCTATGTATTGTCACATTTTTAATTGTCTTTCTGTCAGAGATGCTTTCTGGAGTTATTAGGTGATTACAGAGATGAATTGATTTGAGAGAGAGTGTGAGGAAGAGGAAGAAAGGAGTGAGACATGCATGCAAGCGAAACAAACAATAAAAATGTGTACATTTGTCATCAACATTATGATGTTAAAATACACTTTTTACGGCTATATAAAATACTTAAAAAATCACAAACAAAACGTGACTTGAGTTGTTCCTCACTTCTGTGGAACATATTACTGATCAATTAAAAATGATAATTCTTAATTACATATTGATCTCCAATATTCAATACTTTCAGATCCAGCCTGTTTAACATCCTTAGTGGGCTGTACTCCATCTTTGTCATCATCCTTGGTGCTGTGCTGCCCATTGCTGAAATATTTGCACAGCCTGTGGCCATTAACTTCTTTGAGGTAAGGCATTTATGCTGCATTTACATTGAAGATGGGCTGACCCTGGGATGGAGGGGGGCCTGTGTGTGTGTGTGTGTGTGGGTGGGGGGGGGGGGGGGCTGTTGTGAACAGAAATCATGACATACCCACCAGTTTATGTTCAGGTAGAGGGAACTATAAAAGTATACCAGTAATAAAAAAATTAAAATAATTGTGAGTTGAGAAACTTTCCAGGACATGTTGATAGACACATACTGCACCTGTTATTACGTGGACAGGTGATCAGCAGATGAAAAGTTCACTTGACTTTTTTCTGCTAGTTCTGTTAAGATTCAAAGGGCGCAGAACTAAACAGCTACATGCATATTATCCTGGTGCAAGCCTGACATGAACTTGTATACAATTCTGAGCTTTAGGCTTTTAGATTTTCCGTTAATTGGGAGTCATTTGAGCAGACGTTACTGTCTTCTAGGGCAGGTACAGTATCTGCCACCAGGTGGTGCTGTAGATAAACTGCCAAAAGCTTATCATTTGTTTAGATTAAAAAGAGTTTTAGAAAAGATCTGTTGATAATTAAAAAAACAGACCCCTTAATAATTGCCTCATTAATTGAAAATGTCGGTAAGGCTGTTTGCTCTAATCTTTGACACAGGTTAAAAATGGAAATTGGTTTTGTGCGTGTTGTATGCATGATGTATTCAGTATTTTTTTGGGTATAGTGGGTAGTATACCCAGTCTGTAGGTAATTCCCATGATTTTTAGACGGAATTGTAAAACATTCTTGAAAACATGAAGTAAATCCTGAGAGAGCATATCTACGAGGTATATTCAAGAGACAAGATAAGTGGATAATTACAGCACAGAACAGCAGTGAACAATTAAAGTGCATGTTTTGTTTTTCAGAACTTTGATTTTTCCTTTAAAAGATATGATTGCATCTGTAACAAAACAATGTATATGAAAATGTAACTCATCAAATACGTTTATTAAAGTATTTAAATACCGTACCTATCTAATAGTGGTATGCAGTAAGTCAAACACAGTAATCCGTCTCCCCATCAAACTCAGGTGGTGGATGTAAACACAGACAGCAGGTGGGCAGGGAGTTTTTTCAACAACAAATGTCTTATCATGGTACGTAGATAGGTAGATAGCATAGAAGGTTTAAAAACAGCATCTGATGGATGCTAGGGGCATAGTATAGGCCTCAGAAGTCATGTACTGGTTACTGAGTTGTCAAAATATTGACATAATGTTTTCAGTCAAAACTATGTGAGCAATTTAAGATTTGTTAAGTGTTTGGTTTACTTTTTATTATTGGAGTGCAAAAGAATTTCTGCTCAGTTTATTTGACACTAGGAATATTTTGGTTGTATTAGATAATTATGTTTGTTTCAGTTAGTCAAAATAGAATTAGAAATAACGCAAAAGCTACATGTGTGATTGTGTTTGATGTAAATCATTTTGTCTAGTCGTCAGCAATAAAGTAAAAATTGGTCGAGGAAAGCACAATTTTAACTTTGGAAAAGCATAATTCTCTAACTGTAATGTGTTAATGTTCGTGGAGGTACCGATCCTGAAACAACATTTCCACCTTCTTCCTCTGCATTGCTCAGACTTGCATTCATTTTACTACTTAATTGAATTTGATCGTCCTCCCAGGTGAAATGCAACATATTCACTGTTCTTAGAACATCATTGATTTCTGCTGTGTCTGCAAAGATAACCAACCTTCAGTCTGCCTGAATCACTGGGCCTGTTCACACCTGTTACTAACTTAGATCAGCCAAACTGCATCATTTGACAGGACTGTGGTCATATGAAATTAGGACATCTGTAATGCCCACGACTTTGAAATCTGTCATTAATCAACCTTGTGGTCTGATGATGGCCACTGCTGAGGTTCAGCAAAGTTCTGGTCTAAGTTAGTCCAGTGTGTGAACGGGTCCATTGGGAACATGTTGGACAGTGCAGATAGTTCCTGTGATATGGCAACCTTTGTATGCTGAACCATTGTCAGGTGTTGACTCATCACAAAGCTGAAACATGAGCTGCAAGACCACACTGCAGATCATATCTAGGTGATCAATTGTAACACTTATTTTGTCAGTGCTGTGAAAAAAACAGAAAAGAAGTCATCATTCTTAGTTTATCGGAATATAAAATGTTGTGGTAGAATAGTTGAGCATCAGTGACCTCTGTTATGATGATGATGTCTAGGTTTTTAAGTTACTGCTCTTCCAGCGAGAAGCAAGGCACACTGCACTGTTGTTATTTTCAATTTTTCATCAGTCAATTTCAGTTGTACCTGTTAACAGTATTGACACAATTTTAAACATGAGCTGCTACACATTGCTACACAAAAGAGATTAAACTTAGTTAAATATGGGTGAATTGACCAAGTGATATCCAGGTAGAAACCCAGTAAAATATTGTTTTCCCAATCTCCAGCTTAATAAAATCTTTAACAGATCACTTATTCTTAATAAAATGTATCAACTATGGAGCTCAATACAATGTTTTAGTACTTCTGAAAACCTGAGAAAGATCATCTTAAGTTGGGTTAATATCAGAGCATATGTTTATGTAATTAACTAAAATATGACAAAACTTGATATATGTAATATGTGAATACTAGTAAGTTGTTTTTGAAATTTGCGAAAAATTTCCATAGCTGTAACAATTGTGTAGCAGTATTGATGTATTTTCTAATTAGAAATTATGTTAGGCCAAGTCTTCTCTCTTCCTTATTTAGTACTCATTTATATTTGATTGTGTTTTCACAAATATGATATTAAAATTTATAAAGCTGTGGTAACAAATATGGAATATCACTTTAAAAATGAATGCATACAAATATGAGTTTATGAAAAAAAGCACTAGATTTAAAATGATTGAGGCACCTAGTATAATATCCCTCATACAAATATGAGTTGTTTATGAAAAAAAGCACTAGATTTAAAATGATTAAGGCACCTAGTATAATATCCCTCATACAAATATGAGTAGTTTATGAAAAAAAGCACTAGATTTAAAATGATTAAGGCATCTAGTATAATATCCCTCATACAAATATGAGTTGTTTATGAAAATAAAAAGCACTGGATTTAAAGCAATTAAGGCACCTAGTATAATATCCTTCATACAAATATGAGTTGTTTATGAAAAAAAGCACTAGATTTAAAGCAATTAAGGCACCTAGTATAATATCCCTCCTGGTACAATGTATAACTCCAGGCAGGATTGTATGATATTATGTTGTCTAAGATACATCATGCATGTATACTAGTGGCATATGGCTTCAGGGAAAACACCTTTCCAGGCTTCATGGACAGATCTTTAATGGCACCTGAAAGCATAAAGGGAATAGATTTTTAGGGGCCATTCAGATTGAGCTTGGTAGCATTAACTAGTGCACACTAACTCCACTGACACTGTTGCTGAATGCAATCAAATTAACAGGCTAACTTGTTGTTTTTTGTTCCCAGCTTACTTGTAAAGACACCAGCCTCTCTGTATTCTATCAGGAGTGGGCACATTAGTCTGTTCATCTGTTTGCATTCAGCAAGAGTCCCTGTGGAGTAACTGTGCACTATGAAGTCCAGTCAATTAACTCATACTGAATGGCCCCTTAGTTATGTGTAAAATATGTTACTGCACAGAGCTGGCAACCCAGGCCTTACCCTGTACAGAAATAGTCTAACTCACTGAAGTCATCATGTAGGGCTCACTTTCACAAAAGAACTTTGTGTTAAAAATTGGTTTTAACTCTTGAAGACCAGAAATTTTGGTGTACTTTCATGTAGGATAAATATATTTTCAATGGCTAATATTCAATATCAACTGTTTTATATTTTTCCATTAAACAGGCCCAGTGACTTATTCAGGACTCCATCTGGTTTATAAAGGCAGTTGTATTAGATTGAAATTTTTCTGCTTTAAGTGGATAAAAACATTAAACTTTGTGAAACTAGCTGTAGATGACCAGATCTTCTCATATGCAGTTCATGGCACTACATATACACCACATACAATATTCCTGTGTCATGTGGTTAGACATCAAAAGAAGTCAGCCAGATTATTTTCCAGACTGTGCTCTATTGTTAGTCATTACGTAATGTTAAAATAGGAAAAATACTACTGTTTGTACATGTGCTGTAATTTTGTTTTCTTTATAGCACTGTGTATTCTAAATCTTTATAAAAATCTGAACCAAATCATCTTGAAATCTCAGTCAGTGAAAAAATTGGTGGTTAAATATGGCAGAGTGCTCTCTCTTCCTTCTATTGGCACACCAAAAAGTGCAGTCAAGAATTTGATATTGATGAGAAGTCTTTAAAGGAAATGCAGGAAAGAAGCAAATCAATTAACTTCTGGTATTAAAGCTAACATGTGTTTTGTGGTCTTTTTAAAATGGCACAAAAAGAAGTTCTTTGTCAGTGGTAATATTCCATCAAACAATTCCCTGATTGCTTTTCATTCTACTTTGTTTGATGAGAAAGTTATCAAATTCTGAATTGTGTCATTTTTCGATGTCACCTGCAGGTGGTAATGGGATTATTTAAATGTGTTTTTTTCATGCCACGCTGCACATGTTTCAGACATATGCCAATTTTCTTGGTTTCCTTTACAAAATCTTTTGTGAAATGGAAGCACCCAGTCATTTACAATTATCTTATGTGAAATTAGATCATAGCCCCTTGGAGCAGACAGGATATGTGATGTTGCAGATAACCCGAAGGTATCTGTTGTGTTGAGAATGTTGTAGGATTATTGATGAAAAATGATATGGATTATTGCAAGATAAAGAGACAGAAAACAATAAAGTAATGCAGACTAAAGCCTTGAAAAAAATATTCTTTATTTAGTACTAGGACCTAGATTACAGGGCCCTTGATTTGTTAATAAATATATTTTGAATGAAGTTGGTCTAGACAGCGCGGGGAGAACTAATTGAAAAATAGCTCTTGGACTAACTCCAGGAAATGGACTGGTTCGAACAAAATTTTAATGGCTGTGGGTGTAGGACATGAGTGGCTTACATTGCAAACTCCAGAACTGAGTGCTGAGAAAAGATTAAGACAAGCACTGGCTGATACTTTCTGTGACAGGGCTTATAAAGTTATTATTTCCTTTGAGAGGTGCATGACGTCTGTAGAACTCTCTGTCCTTCCTGTGGCTCTTGTGCATTGCATCCTGAGATATTTCATATTTCTCCAGCCACATTGTCCTCTTTGTTACTTGATTATGTCTATTGTATTTAGGAATTTATATGAAAAGTTGACATATTATATTCACAGAAGTGTCAAGTACAGTTGTTTTCTTTTCTTTTGCTTTTTATTTCTAAGAATATGAGTATTAGACTCTCGGGATCAAGAAGGTCTGATAAAGATATTTAGTAATTTCTGGATATCTTATTTTGACATGAATGAAATTTCTAGCTGCAATATTGATCATACATCCTACCAGTTACTTCAGTGTGCGTTATACATGTTTGTGGGAGGAAGGGGCACAATTTTTAGGGGAAAAAAAAAACAAAAAAAACAAGCACATGCTCATAGCTTTGACTCATTTCCTAGGGGCATTGTGAGCATGCAGTTTATTTTGCAAGGCAAGTGTAGAATTGTTTATTAAGTACACTTGCAGTAAACTATTTTTTAAATCTAACATGCCTGATCCGAATGAAAGAAATCAGCTCTAGCTAAGATTTTGCATGTTGTATGGAGAATAAAATTTCATAGGGAGTGTGTGTGCATTTCCACAATTTCATGAAAACTTTGGATTGTAAATTAACAGTTGTGCAATCAAACGATTGGAAGGGTTTACTAGAACATCCATTGTCTATACTGAATGGTCACCATCATCTCAGAATCTTCTTTACTTTTTTCCAAATTGTCACCATCTCCCTGTAAAATATTCAGCTTCATTGGGCAGGGATTCTCCGTAATTGAATTGAGATTTGATTTCTCCTAATGTGTATACCTATAATTAACGTGGATGGTTCTTCCGCCATTGATCTGGGCTTCATGATACCTTGCCTCCGGGGAGCATCAGTTAATGGGAACATTTTAATGCTTTGTTATGGCGGACTAGTACACTTGGATATGGTATAGATCAGACTGCTAACAAGGCAGGTATCCTGTTATCTCCTGCATTGTGCTGCTTCTGGAAATTCAATTACAGTCTTCTGAATTTTCACATGCAAAGGGATACTTCCAAGTCATTTGTGTATTATCACTGGATGGGGTAATGGATTGATGATAAGAATAATAGATTAATTGCAGTGCATTGATCTTAGTTGTTATTTCAACTTTTGGTATTAATAATAAAGAGAAATTATTTTTAAAAAAACTAGCAAGTAATTTGTAAATTATTGTTCATAGAATGTTTTGGGTATAGTATTTGGATTATCAGTTGAAATGAATTGAAGGGTTTTATTAGGTGTGTTTAATTGAACTTTTTAAAAACAGTATAATATCTATTGTTTGACATGTTGTTACTGCAAGCAATTTTCTCACAATATTTTAGTGCTTGTTTTCTCATTGAAAGAAGATAGTGGTACAAATCAATGTGTTTATGTTGGTTATCCCACACCTTATTTTACCTTTGAAATATAACCAGGCAAAAAGATTCGTGTAAGAAATGCTCTCTCAGCAGGCAATCTTCAGTCACATACTGAAATAGAGAAAGAAATAAGTCACTGCCATCTGCTGTGTATATTGTTAGGCAGATCACAGAAAAATATGATTAAAATCTTCAATTTTGAATATCAGTGAACAAATAGTAGCAAGTCAGTTGGAATCACCTCCACATGAATTGTTAAGCAAGTCAAATCACAGAAGATGGCATTATTCACAACTGCAGGTGAGTCTTTTAAAATACCAAACCTATCAGACAATAGGGTTGTTCTGGCATACAAAGAGTTGGCAGTGTGCCAGCTAGTAAACACAGTTTCAGGTATGATTTTCGCTGGAGGGAGGAGGTAAACACGGGGACTCCTGGCTTGTTTGAATGACTCCAGGCAAAGTGAAGCACACCGCAGCAGGTTGTGTTTTCTGGCCTGTTGTGTTGTGTTGTGTGGTTATGTTCTGTAGATATACAGAGTTTTGTGGGAAATTATAGTTTGTATGATATAGAATATTGATGACTAATCTTGGAGCAGCTGTGAAACAGAGGAAGTATATTCCCTCATAGCCTTCTTCAAGTATTGAGGTGGCATCTTTGTGTTTGATGTTATTATTCAACATAATAAAAAGACTTAAAAACATCCATCTGATTCAGCAATGTGAAGTTCAGATTCTGGTTGAATTATCTACCAAGTGATTGGTTGATAAAGCAGTTAAGGGCTTCATGAAGAAAAGTAATTGACAAACATTTCATGCATGCTTTCATGAAAATCTTGGTATGGGAAACAGTTGACCTTTGAATACAGTTGCAGCAACTCTTATAGGTGTTCTAGATAGATTCATGTTGTACATGTCCATTGAATTGCAGGAATGTTTGAACTTTATTTATTATGGCTATATATTTTTTGTTGTGGTATTTAGTTATTATTTTTAATTATACCACTGATTTAACAAAGAAGCAAGCTTAATGTGCTTAAAAAGTTTACATTTTTAAAGTAAAAATTACTGTTACACAAAATGTTTTTTATATTTTGTTTTAAATAAGGAATTACTGAATACAATTAGAAATATAGAATATATGTTAATTTATTTAATTAATATTTATTTATTTATCCATTTATTATTATTATTATTATTATTATTATAATTATTATTATTATTATTATTATTTTCTTTGCATCTCTATATTAAAATACCTTGTGATGTGTTCAGTTACCTGCTCTGATATGATCTTCAATTAAAGAAGAGATAATCAATAGGAAAATGCTAGTTTCAACTTTTGACTCCCTCTAAGAGGATATTGTACACTAGTGATGGATGTTAATTAAGTGCCATTCAAAACAATTCAATCTGCTTTTCCTAATTCCTGGATTGTTGGCCCCAGATGACTTGCTTTGTTTCTCGCTATGAATAATCAATTTGAGTTGTGTAAGAGTCATTGAATGGGACATTGACAGAGTATTACCAGTGGTGTTATGATGTCTATCAAAGTTGAATCATCTATGGATTGTAATTATAACAATGTGAATGTTTTCACAGATACGGCAATTAATTCTGCTGAGAGTCGCACAGGTGTTTGCTGACATGAAGTCCTATAGAAAGTTAGTCCTAAAGGGAGCTGCATGAACCTGTTGTGTTAGGTGTGACATGGAGATATGAGCACAATCATGTTGTTCTGGCCTGTCATATTGATAAGCAGAGTGGTTGGATGTGATATTCAGCTCATATCTATCCTAGCCCTGCTATGTTATATTGTTATTTATTGTTATATGTTCTTTTTTGAAGTGAAAGGGAAAAAATAGTTTTTTTGAAGTGAAAGGGAAAAAATAGATAAACCTGTAATAAAGTCTGCTTTTCATTTTTTAAAGCAGAAATATGAGGGATTCACTGCATGCTTATTTAATAATTATACAAGTATACATGTTTTAACTAAAATAAATTTGAACATAGTTACATAACTCATAATGTATTTAACTTTAATGGCAGGGTATTGAATGTGCCTTTGTACAACAATTACAATGGTATGGACATTTATTTCAGATTTATTTTTAAAAAAGCTTAAAAATGTCAATGAAAAGTTTTTGAAATTGCTTTTTTTTTATAAATCTGCAATCATTTATTTTCACTTTCTAGGCATTTTATATCTACCTGTATGGCGTCAGCATCATCTTCCTGATTTATGTCTACGCATTTCTTCTGCAAAATGCCACTTCGGAATATACTCGCAAGAGGGCACAACAGGCAAATAATGCTCACACCGCCATCTTGGAAAAATCTCGCAAAGTGTCCATTGACAGCAGTGGGAGCCATCACACTGGGAGCTTTTATTTGAGACTAGGCGCTGTGGGTAAGGAGAAATTGTGTGATGTATTCAACTATTCTAAGTTGATGAAGCAGGGACAAGGACTTGTGTATAAAATTTTGAAAGTAATGCAAATAATCGTTCAGTTTAATATGAACCAGTAGATAATAGGGCATTAAATAGCATCATATAAGGTGGAGACTGTAAACTTATACTGTATTGTCGAAATTATTATAGTAATAGTACCATATCAGATTATTAAAGTATTGTGTATTAAATTGGTTTTCTTTCTTTTGAGTAAACTTTTAAAATAAAAATATCTCTATAACCTTGTAAAAAATGTAATATCCTTGCAATTTAATCAAATATGTCTCTATAATCTTGTAATAAAATGTGTTCCAGGGTTTGGAATAGGGAACATGCTCCTGGATGGATTAAGATTTGGGGAGTTCTTTGAAATGGACCTGTCCTCTCCTTGCAGTAACATCCTTCTTGCCGTCAGACCTATGGTGCATCTGGTCTTTACCTTTGTACAGCTCTATTTTATCTTCCTCAACTCTAAGGTAGGTTTTGAAATTTTGCATTTTGTATTTTATCAAAATATTTGATTTACCGTAGGTGCATTTTTGAAACAACAAGCCTATTATGAAATGTAATAAAAATCCCCCAAAACTGTAATCTTTTATTGTTGGCACATTTGAATTAGAAATCATAATAACACAAAGTGATTTATGAGTTTCATGTGGTCAAAGTCCATTAATGTAAAAAAAAATTATTAAAGAAGTTAAATTTTCATATAACTGTATTAATTTGGATGTTGATCAAATCTGATAACTAGTTACAAGTTTTTAATATAATTTTTCTAATATATGTAGTGTTTATATATAGTTTGTGCCAATAAAGAGACGTGTCCATTTCAGATGTGTATTCACAAATACAAAGTCCTGGCACGGTTTGGTCTGATGCACATGTTTGCCACCAATATCTGTGTGTGGTTGCGCAATCTCATGAAGGAAACGTTACGCGAGCTGCAGCACAAAGCGGTGAACACGAGTCTGACGGAGTATCTCTCTCTTCAACACTTCACTCCAGTACATCTAAGAGATGCTGCAGGGGTGTTAAAACAAGGAGCAGGTAAAGCTAGAACTATAGTAAAATTATTTTAGTAGCATGGAGTCTCTTTCTTTGAACATTTTGCTCTATGCAGGCCAGGGGCGGATCCAAAGATATTTTCTGACAGTCTTCCAAATTATCTTTGTTAATCCATCCTCCATTTTTTGACCGTCTTCCGACAGAAAATATTAGATACCTGTCAATGTAAACATGAAAATCTGACCATCTTCTGGAAGACCCAGAAGATGCCCTAAATCCACCCCTGCAAGCAATCTGGTAAAATTGTGGTATATTATTATAGTGCTAAGTTCTGAGTATCCTCTTTTAATTTGATAATATATCATGCACATTTTCCTTCTCATAAATCGCGAAGTTAAGATTATAACAGTGACAGAATAAGGCAAGTAGCAGATATATTAATTATTCTCACAGGTTAAAAATGACTTGTTATCCTTTTAACATAAACTAAGCAGCTTTTATTTCAATACCTTGAGTATTTTTTCCACCAGTTGCTATAAGCCACAACACCTTTACTAATATGTATCACAAGTGGCTCTATTCTTCATTGATCAGATTTCATAGCATGGTATTAGTCTAATACATGTTTGGTCTGAATATATCTTTCAGCAGAGGCACCAAATTACAACATCAGTACCAACATGACCACCAGGAACCCTCCGATCTTGACCCTGTTAGACTGCCAGAGACGGGACATTATGGGGAATGTGGTGGACCAGGCAGCCCCATATCTGTACCCATGTGCTGTACAGTATAGCCTCATTGGTTCAGGTAATATGGCCTGCTTATATCAGGAGAGAATTTTTTAATCTTGATGACATTGAAGGGATAGACACTTAGGTTTTGTAATGTGGATAGAATACAAAAAAAAAAGTAAATAAATAAATAAATAATTATAAATTAACTTTTGATATCAGATAATAAGGTAGAGTATGTAGTGTTGTATAGTATATGAAAAGGAATAAATCATAGTTGTGTGTACAGTGCTGTCTTTTTGCAGATTATACTTTACTTTCATTGAATTTTGATCTTGTTGATTTTGGTTTTCATAATTTGAGCACCAGTGCTTTGTTTGTCACTCTTACATGTTATCCATTTCAATCACTGTTACCTCAAGCTGTTTGTCTTGAGTCTTTGTCCTTTAGTAAAATGTTAAGTATAATGGAGCAAAGATTATTTAAAGTATTTTATTAATTAATGTTTTATGTTATAGAATACAGAATGATCATATGCCATTTTCTCTATTTCAGCCATTCTTTACACAATCTGGAGGAACATTGGCAAGAGAACAAGTCCCCTTTCTACATTTTATTCTACAATCCAAAACAACTGGTCACCAAAGAACAAAGTTCAGACCCAGCGTCCAGTCTGTGACAATCAGCGCCAAATAGTGGACTGTCAAGGTTCTACCAAAGGACTGTTTGTGGGCATTCTCCTCCTGGTAGTGACCATCATCTCGATGATTGCATTCTTTGTGCTGGTTGAGAAGCCATCGTACCAAAGTATTGCCGTTATTGTCGTCCATGCCGCGGAGATTACCCTGCACCTTATCACAGCAGTCACAGTCTTAGCTGCATTTTTCAGAGTGCAGGATCTGTATTTTAATATCAAAAAAGACATAGGGTTGGATGAGACTCTCCTGCTTATCTCCCTCACTGGTGTATATATTTTCTCAATTTTCAGTATTGTCGCAGGGTATTACAACACAACTACGTACGGTGGCACCCTTATAGTGGTGACAGGAACTCTTCAACTTCTTGAGTCCTCTTTGTTGACAATATTTGTCCTGAATGGACTGAGGCGGCGATCGTACAAACCAAGCCATGAGGAGAGCAAGCCTGGCAGAGAACTTGTTACCTTCTTATTAGTATGTAATATTGCCATGTGGGGGGTTAACATCTTTCAAACAAGGAGGGCAGAAGTCAATCCAGTTCAGACTGATTTCTACGGCAACCTGCTTTGGGTGATTATTTCGCACATTTCTACACCATTGAACATATTCTTCCGCTTCCATGCAGCTGTCTGCCTAGCCAATATTTGGAGAAATGCGTACAAGGTCAAGGTCAAGTAAACAAAAGTTTAAGTCACTAAGTAATTCATTTTGCTTCTGTCCTTATTATGGTATAGGTAGCTATCAAAGTAATACTCTAGAAATGTGGTTTCAAGCCGTTGAAACTAATATTTTCCACTTTTATTGGCAAGGAACACTCATTTGCTTTTTTGGTGCCGAAATAAAGTGGGTGAAAATAAAATTTGAACTATATTGGATTTTGATTTAATACTTGTTTAAAATGAGTATAATCTAATATTTCCAAGATATTTGTTTTTGTATCCTCATAAGCTGATTAATGATTTAGAGACAGGTATCCTCAAAGAGGTTATTTATTTTGAAATAGTTGTTGGATAAATATTAAACACGCACTGCCACATTTATACATCTCCTCTTTGCATCTTAAGTGTAAGTTCTATGATGAATAATACTGATGTACAAATAAAAAATACTGGGCAGTAATATATACCGGTAAGACAGTTATGAAATAGATAATTGTGCAGACATTTTTCATTTTTGCTTTTGCTGTAAGTGTGTAGGTCTTGGCTTATCGGTACTCCTAGTGTACTCCTAATGTTAATAGCTACTGTAACAGACACTTTGGTCCTGTTTTCACATGCTATACATAATGCTTTCAAAGTATGTTTAAATGTTATAGAAAAAGGTGCAACATTTACCTAAATCAGTCCATGTATTTTAGTAATAAATATGCTAGTAGACAATCGAGTTATCATGTAAGTAATATATGAATATGGCATAGTGAAGTATTTTTGATACAAAGAATTGTATGTATCTTTATCTGCCTTTGTATCAAGCATGTTTTTACAAATCTGTTCTTGTTATATATTAGTTGCAATACCATTTAACTACAATATATATATATCTGTTAGTGGTCCAAAGTCTTACTTGTAGACTGGAAACTTTTTGAATTATATTCATAATGAGATGTGTACTTGCCATTGTAATAATGGAGTTTTTATGAATTAATGGACATTATCTTTTTGTTGAATTTGTTTGAACCATTCCTTATTTTTTCTGCAGATCTCTTCTTGTAAATGTACATTTGCAGATGCCGAAGTCTATGTATCTGTTACCAAATATGTCTTACCAAGTACAGTTAATGACACCATGGGGGGGGGGGCAGGGGGGGGGGGAAATGGGCTCAATATAACATACCTAGATTCTTTCAATTATGGAGATTTGGTACCTGACATTAGCCAATGGGATGTGCTTTTTAAAGCTTGTGGTGTGATTTAATACTTATTTGAGAATCTGCAGTGTCTCTAACTACTTATTTTTAAGTTCATAAGTTTTGTTCAGTTTGACATCTATTTCACTGGTGTAGACTGATGACCACATCAGTGCAGACTTTCTTTGTCATACTGTTTGTTGAAGCAGTAGCTTCAAGCTGAAACAATTTGAATTTACCAAGAGAATATAACTCCTATATACATCCACACCTATGCTCAGCTTAATGTACAGCACTATAAAAGTTCCCTTTTTTATTTTTTGGAGGTAAAACCATGGGGCATCAGCATGGCCACCCAATTTATGAGTGAATGAACACTTTTAGAAACCTTTTGTTAGTTTATTATTCAGTATATACTCTTTACATGGCTCCCTTTTTATTTTTGTCTATCTGAAGCTATTCTGATTGTAAGTCAATCACAATTTTGTTTTAAGTGTAAATATGCTTATTTAAGTGCAAATTGTATGGTTCATCTACATTGTTGGAGATTTTTGAAAGATACTATTATTGATTTTTTGCATTTTATACACAAAGAAATGCCTTGCGTATATTTGCTTTGAATCTCTAGGTACTTAGTTTATATATATATTTATATAGTGAACCACGTTTGGAAGTGCAATAAATATGTATAACTTGAATGGATTAGTTGTTTTAGACTTTTCCTTTTAGGGATGTAGTAGTAAAACAGATAAAGGCATAGACACAATACCCTAAGTTTTTATAAAAAAATTAAAACATACTTCCCAAAAGGCCAATTAAATACAGAGCTTTTAATCTTAAAAGTGCAGTGTCCAACGGATGACGCTCTTGCGCCATTTTTGGGGAAAATAATTTTTTGGATTTCGGATTTTCTCTATAACCAAGACAGCTATCCAAGTGATTCAAACGGCATCATAAAGCTGGGTGAAGGTACTACAGAAGGATAACAGGGAATTGTCTTAAACTATTTCCTTCTGATTTGATTGTCTTTTACGTTAAATTTTCCATATTTCAATGGGCTATTCACTTCCAAAGACGATACTTTTCAGACAAACAATTTTCTCCAAAATCTCTGATATTTATCTGTAGTCCAAATTCTCAACAACAATTATTGCAATTTTCGTAACTATCGGTTGCTTAGATAGGGAGATATACTTGAAACTGATTCACTTATCTCGTCAATCTGAAAAGCTGTTGAAACAGCAAAAAACGTTCACAGGCTGGTTAACAGAGCTTATTAGTCGGTTATGCGATCAGATGGAACCATTGCTAATTTTCATCTAAATTTTTTTTTTTTTTTGTGCTTTGAAATGCCAGAAAATCGTGTTTTTGTAACATTTTCGATCACGCGTTAGACTTGTAAGCGTGCGGCTATTTTGATTGACAGCTCTGGACAGGGCCCAACCTTGTGATGCAGACCAGGGGGTCAAGGATATGTAGAAGGAAGCGCAAACAAAGCCCATTACGTCTTTTGGCGTCCATTTTGTATTTTGTTGAGGCTATCTGCATTTGATTTATTTGGAGAGAAGTGGCATAACATCTCTTTATGCATTTTGTACCATTTTAACATGCTTCTGTTGAAACCACTTGGAGCAAATTTGCACCTACTAACTGTAGATCTCTGTGCTGGCGGCCATTTTTGATTTTCCCCAAAAAATACCTTTTCCACTACTTGGATTTTTCTAGATTTTTAATATGATCATATGGACGACTCAAAGACTAATAAAAAACCATACTACATTTTTTTTGGCAATTAGTCCCGGGTTAAACCATTTTTTCTTAGACTATAACCGCAATTAAGAGGTGTGAAGTTGTATTTGAGCGTTTTCATGGGCCTTCCTCGGTAATCGAGATATTTTACCCGGGAGCTTCATTCTATGTTATCGGCAAAGTGATCACATGAAATCGTTCGTATCTGTAAAAAGTGGCCGTCTGTCGTGTTTATACAAATTTTGACAGGTAACGATGCAGGATTATTTTTACGGCATTTGGTCATTGTCAGGTCAACAAAAAAATCCAGTGATTACAGTGATTACTTTAGAACACTCAATATGGCATCTCTCGAAATGGAAGCGAAGATGAAAGGGAGGTTGGCTAAAATTAAAGAGTGGAGATAAGTTTTGAAATCACGTGATGATTGCAGAAAAAGTCTATTTATATCTGTTGAAGTATAAATAAGTTGCGTCGGGATTTTATTGTAGATTTCGTGTAATACTAGTTCACTCACCGCACTTTAGGCCAACATAAAGTTATTTATCAATTTATTTTATGAAAGGGTCTGATGTGTTGAGGAACCACGTGTGTTGTACAGGGGTATTTATATAAACTTTCTCTCCTCGTAGATCTTTCTCGACATCCGACTGATCGAAAGCCGTTTTTCCCCACCCGCAGCGAATACTCTCTTTTAAAATACTTTCTTTCTTTCTCCAGGAAATGTACATTTAACACGAACTTTACTCTTCCCCATAGCGTACTCGGCTTCTACACTGCTTAGCTGATGTAAGACTTATGACCTGTTACCGCCCACGTAATCGCCTTATAACTCATTAACTTTGTTGCCCCTCATGGCAACAGTCCTTACCAATGGAGGCGTGGCTTAGTCGTCAGTCTGACTGGGTTGAAAAAGCCATCAAAACACACATTTGTCGGTGCAAATTCTAAAAATTATTACATCCAATGTTAGATACTTAATATAAATACACAAAAAACTCAAAAACATGACTTGAAGGCCATTTTACTCTGCTACACCCCTTAAATTAGTGTAACTAGTAAGTAAAGCATTCAATTCAATTTTATTTATTTTATTTTATATTTGTCTGCATATGTACATATATTTTTTTAATGCAACATCTGTATGCCATTTAACAATCAGGGTCTCCCAATTTTAATGAAAATGGCCATAGAGTAATAGATAGTAATAGATAAAACAGTACTGCAGTTGTTCATATTGCATAAAACAATATGCACATTGTTTCAGCGTTAAAAAGTTTATGCAGCTGACCATTCCGAAAAGTCGTGAAAATGTAGATGTTTTGTAACTGTTGATGTTTCAAAAGGCACACCCTTAACTTTCATCAGAGTATGATTATTTTAAAATGCTATTCAAATAGCATGTAAATAGCGTCGAATGTAATTATATTTTTTCCGTAAAACGTTGCCCTGCGTCATTTTGCAGCATATGTTCTTGTAAAGGAACGTCAGTGTTCTCAGCCTGGTCGAAAGACTTCTTTTTCCTTTTGGACAAACAGAAGCACCAAGATCTCGGTGGCAGACTATCTTCTAGCGCTTTATGTCTTGTTTCAGGCAAGAAGCATGTAACCAAGCCTGCTGCCAAAGCGAAACAGCCGCTGATGACGTAAGGTGACCCCTCCCAGAACTTCGTCTGAAGTCAATCAAGACAAAGCACTACGGAAAAGTCTCATAAACTCTAAGTTTCAAACCCTTTGTTGGCATATAAACTGTTTTGTGCGTTTGTCTTTTTTTTCAGAAAATATAAATAAAATATAATTAGCAAGACTGAAAAAATGCATTTTAGGAATATTGTATAAAATGGACTATATATATATATATATATATATGGTCTGTAACTTTAGACGTTCTTAGATCGAATGTTCGTAACACTCGGTAATCTGTATTTGCAATTCATTTTATACCACTGCCTATGTCGAATAAAGCACTTATTTCAATTTTTTAGCCTCTTACCATCGGTGGACCAACAGTTGAAAAAACATGGAAGAAATACGGAGCAATATTTCGATGACTTGCAACTTACCACATAAACCATTTGAGGAGCAATGATACCGCCTATTCTAGCCGACATGGAGGCAAAACCTAGTCCTTGATTCCTGGAGAGAAACTAGTACATATATGACAACTGATATTGGGTTGTGTTCTGGAGAACTGATATGTTCCTTCAGGGATACTTAGGTTCCAACTCAGTCTGTTCTTTTAAGTATGTCATAAAAACGTGCCATGTTCAACTTCGTTGATTTTGCTTGTGAAGAAATGATAAATTTGATCTTTTCTGAACAGGAAAACTAATCTAAAATGATTTTTGGTCGGTTTTATATGTCTATTTCTACATTGACATACGTAAAATTGGAAACAAATTATTGATTGAAAAAATGACAAACATAGTTAAAATTATTATATCCCAAGTGTTGCCTTGATTTCAACCAGGTTAAAAGAACAAATACAAATACACTGCTTGTATTACCTTATGGGCGTCGGGTAGCTTTCCGAGGTCAGAATAAGCATGGCTTGCCAACCCATTAGTACACTGGTTGCTGCTATGTTAGATAGCACTGAGACTACCACCCACAACTCGGTGTATCTCCCAATAGCCACTAGGACAATGAGCGGAATCAGTAAAACTGCCGCTGCAAGCAGACAGACATTCGCTATTCTACTTCGACCAATCCTGGAAATTCAATGTATTGGAGGTAAAAATGTGCCATTTTTAGTCACAATGCTTACATGTATATAACGTGTGATACAAACACAGCAATGCACCTAAAGTAAATATAAAATTGTATTCTTTACTTTCTCTTTCTCTTCTCTGGTTGCATTTAATGTGCAGTATCGTGTATCATTTTAAGGCATGTTTTTCTTCTTTAATAACACATTTCACTATTGGGGTGTTTTAATTTACATTCAGGACTGTTTGGATCAAATTTTCCATCAACACTGGCTGAAATTCTGTCTAAAGACGCTGTTACCTACCATCTTGTTAATATGGGTATGAGAATCGCATCGAAGTACGCAAGACTGGCGTTGATGGCAAGGTGAACATATTTGTTGCCTGGCAAATTCTTTATATTAAATACTAAACTGTAGCTTAGAAGACTGCATGTAAACCTAAAAACCATTAAAAATTGAGAGGCATCATGTCCCACTAAATTTTGTCCAATATTTATAAGTGGATGAAGTTAATTAAGTCGTAAGTAATAATGCCATAAAATATTGAAATAGAATATCAGGGGCGGATACAGGCCGTCTTCTGGGTCTTCCGGAAGACGGTCAGATTTTCAATTTTTCATTGATGGGTATCTAATTTTTTTGTCGGAAGACGGTCAAAAATGGAGGCTGGATCAACAAAGATAATTTGGAAGACTGTCTGAAAAAATCTCTGGATCCGCCCCTGAATATTACATGTTTTTTCACGTGTTTTTCGTTGAACATTACCAAAGCGCACACAATCACATCGATTACGGTAGATAAAATATCTGACACTAACCAAATAAACATGATCATAGCTGTAACTTTGGTAAGGGCAGGGGTCCGGAAGAGATCCCAAAATCCGAACCGTTTGCCGCGTTGTGCTAAATGCATTTCTTCCTGAAACCATTCAAACTTCAGATATTCCTCAGTTGTTCTATTTCATATACAAACCATACATTCTAAGAGAAAAACTACTATAAAATTTAACACTCATACAGCTGCAACTACATTGATTTTGGCCTACTCCAACGTTTTTGTTTTATCTATTTGCTCAATTCAAAAATTTCACATCAGCAAGGTATGTAACTTTTAGGCGGGCGGTTTCCTTATTTTGGAAACTCCTTGTTTACGAATTTAATTCTTCTCTTACAACGTGAAAAACAAAAGTTTTCTTTCCGATGACACACATAAAATATGTTATCATTTGATATTATTGACAACATTTACGAACATTATTAAAAGAAAACTAACTTCACACTGTTGCACAAAAGCATCCATATCTGGCAAAGGTTTTTTGTTGCATTTCGCTATTCTTTTGGCAATAGCGACGACCTCGTCATATCGACCCTGCGACAGCAGCCACCTTGGACTCTCCGGAAGAAACCTGGAAATAGGACACATAACTCTTTTAATGATATATTATACTATAACATATATGAAGTAAAATGAGCGGAGGTTTAATCTACAGATCAGATTATCTATTTTTCAGTCCATTATTGAATAAATAATAACTATGATGAATTTCAAATATCTCTGTCGTTTCCAGTATCCGGAGAGGCTTGTACTTTCTGACGGTATAGGGGTTGCTAGCACTTTCATTGTTTCAATATTGCAACAAAATATACTGGTGACCCTTGTGGTTTCAGAGGGTAAGAGGCTTGTGGATAATAAAAGTGGGTTTAAAGTGGACACTGAAACTCAGAGTGATTACAACCGGTACACATGCTAAGTTAAATGACGTTTTATACTTACCAACAAGCGATAAGAATTGGGAGTCCTGGTAAAGTAGTGCTCAGCAAAAATGTACGCCATTCTCGGATGAAGTAGCCAAGCAGCACTAGTACCATTAATCCCGCTGGCCACAGCCCTAACCCATTGATAACGGGGCGATACTTAGGGCCGAAGAATTCAACACACCAAATGTAGCCGACAACAATACAACCTGCACCAGAACGACAGAAAATGCAACGTAGAATCTCATTTACGATTTAAAAGAGAGAGAGAGAGAGCGAGAGAATTTATAGAAAATTTTAATTCAGTCATAAAACGCCCTCAAATACCCACTCGATGCCCAGTAAGTACCAGTTAGTATTCCATTATATTTTAAAATTGGTTTATTCCGCAAATGTTATTCAAGTTGGGATTTGAACACATATCCTGTTGTATTTTGCATTGTCATATGGTTAATGAGAGCAGTTACTATTTTACCTCCAAGCCCCGTTCCATTAAGAAAGCGTAGCACAGCAAACTGTATCCAGTCATTAGTAAAAGCTTGTGCTGCTCCTACTATGCTGGTGAACAACAAGGCGATGAGGAACACCTATAAAAATATAATGGTTTAATTCTCATGGCATGTTTAAGCTCTCTGTTTTTTGTGGATTATTTTTGAAAATGTTTACTGTAGTCAGAAATAAAGCAGTGATAAAAATTTTAGTACATGTTCCAATTTTATCCAAGTCCCCAAAGAGAAAAACAATAAAGTCATTTTACTAGGAAAATGAAAATGCTTACAAACTGGTTATCAAAACCGAATAACAAATCAATAATAACAGATCAAGGCACGGATAAGTTTCACTAACGGCTTACATAAAGATATTTGGTCTGATGATCAGTACTCTACCTTCTTTCGACCGAAAGCGTCCCCCAGCTGTCCAAACACCAGGGAACCTATCAGCACCCCTGCCATCTGGAGGGACGATATAGTGTCACTGATAAAGTCTCGGTTGCAGATTAAATCCCACTAGAACGATACAATTAATTCATTTTTCATTATTATAATGTCATGTACGTACTGCAATATATGGAGAACGCGTATCCCTTCGGGTTTATGAGACACTTTATGAGCTGCTGTGTATCGTTTTGTCTTATAACATATATTGTGGTTATAAGTTTTGCAACTTGTCTTCAATGTGTGTCTTAAATATACTCCACGAGACAGTGACGCCAATAGAAGACACATTTCGTCATTATTGTAAAATTCATATCTTTTATCGTTGAAATTTTCGTCTTCAGTTTCACGTGTACAGATTCCTAAGATTTTACCATTAAACGTAAAATATGTCGTGGGTACAGGGACTTAAAAGTGGCCTTTTTGAAATTTGAAATATTTCTCATGCGTTTTTTATTTTGTTTTCAGTATCAAAATTTTATTGGCTCAGAAATTAAGTAGGCCTAACTCTCCACAATAAAAATGGAAATTTATTTATAATTTGTTTCACAATCTTATCGTTTTGAATCTCAATCAGATCGTTCCATTATCTTTAGCCGTCGACTTCATTTCATCGGGTTCCTGCCTGATTCAATTTACAGATTTTACTTTGAATTTCATGGACGATCCAATAGGTACGACCTTACAGCTTATCACACATTTTTTTTTGCAACGACCACAGAAACTGGAAACACCAGATCCACACTTTAGTATTGGAGCTCAGGGGCGGATCCAGGATTATTTAAAGGGGGGGGGGGCGTTAATGCAAAGCCGATGTGGGGTTCGGGGCCCGCTAAAGGCCCCCAAATTTTTGGTATATTAAAGGGCGACCGGTGCCATTCGGTACGGTTTAGAACTATGATTCAGCTATTTAAGAGTTTCAAGAGGGGAATATTAGTGTGATTTTTTTTCAGAAATCGGAGGGAGGCGGGGGGGGGGGGGGGGGGGGGGGCCCCCCCGAACCCCCCAAAACCCCCCCCGGGGGTCACAAAAAAAAACCTTGGGAAAACCCGGATGACCAAGCAACCATTT